CATCGGTGTACCCCCGTGTTGGTCTTTTTCATCATAGTGCCGCTTAATTCGAGATCAAGAGCACATTGCCCTCCAAACCTTGTGTTCACAATCCCTACCCTGCCATCCATTTGTTACAATTTGTTACCCCTAACCTCGAGATAGCCGCGAGTAATCGGCCCCCGCTTTACTAAAGTTAGTTTTAAGTAATTTTGTAATCTAAACAATGAATATCGGCTCCGCAAAGCTACAGCAAATGAGCCTGGATAAATAAACGCATTATAGAAAAAAAAACAAAAATAGGCAACTAGAAATCAATTTTAGCTTAAACTGAATTTGCCAAGACAGGAACAATGGAAAAACAATTTAAAGCAATTTAGGCTGATAAGTTACTGTAGTAGCTAGAGCACCGAGATTCTTCTTCACTGCGACCAATAATTAGATCTATTGTGGTATACTCCAACTTGATATGTATGTATGCAATGATAGTCGCATTTCACCCCAAGAAGGTATAACTTCCTTAATGAAGTTCGGTACCTTTTTAAGTTCACTAGATCATATCTTGTTAGGCATGAGGACACCCTTACCGAGAGACCGCGGAGTCTTCGCTGAATTAATGCACTGCATTGGCACAGTAGGTGATGCGAAGTTTCAACTTCAGATCTATTGTTTCAAACTGAGTAGGCTGCGTGTGATTCTATTACAAGCTGTAATGAATCTTTTTGATTGTCGTAATGCTGAGAGAGCTCTCCAATTGGCATCAAACATCGATGATTCCCAGATTCTACATGGCTCAGGCCCGATGAAATCAGTTGAAGAGCCAATTCTTGCTAAATAATCGGCTTTTTCATTACCCTCTATACCACAGTGACCATTAAACTGATGTAAAATTTGAAATTTTCGCTCCACAGTGTTCAAAAGATTCCTGATTAGCCTTTCAAAATTTTAAGTCATTTAGTAATAAACTGACTTGGCACAAACCATTTAAAGTAATGGGAAAACCAAATGTTGTATTAATATCTATCTAATAATTAACCCTATTACTCTGCTGTTAAAATTGATAGCTGGACTTGTTGTAAATTTTCACAGCTACAACTTTGTTGATAAAATGTTAGGATCAAAAGATATTAATGATTCAAGTAACTATTGTCTTATGAATATGCTCAATCAACTGCTCAGCAGGCAACATTGGTGTTTCTGGCGCGTTGAATAGAGCTAAAACATCATGGCTACTATGTCACACGGCAGAATACAGTGTTGCCCACAAAAAAGTTGCTTTATCATGCTATAAGCTTATCAATCTCTTAAACAATTAATAACTATTTAATTTGATGTTTGGCTGAAAAACATCATTCCGTAAAGTTGTAGCTGATTTTCCATAAGAATAGCTATAGAAATTGTTAGCGATGCAATATGGAAGAAGGGTAGAAGAATATGAAGAAGAAGTTTGGTTTCCCCATAGTAATTCCCATATAAACTTCAAATGGTTTGTGCCCAGTCAGTTTCATACCAAATCAGTTCAAACCTTGGGAGGCTAATCTAGACCCGATTTGAAACCGCTTGAGCAATGTGGAGCGAAAATGTCAAATTTTGCGTCAGTCTTGCGACCATGTACCCAACACTATTTGTTGTAACCAGCTGTTTTAAGGAGAAGATGCACTCCCAAACTAGCTTCGCCTGGTATGTGTTAAAGCACTCAGTGTTGCTTGATTATCAGAGAAAATACAGATATTGAAACAAATATTTGTACATGTTGAAATAGTATGTATTTCTGCCTGGAAAACTGTAGGCCACTGTCCCATTGGTATTGAGATGTTTATTCCTGGGCCTGTAATCCCAGCTCCGGTAGATTTCCCCATTTTGGAGCCATCGGTGTAAAATACAGTTGCTGCGATTGGATTCAATCACTTCAAAGGGAAAATTAAAGTTAGTCTTGGCCTCCATCCAGTCTTTATTCATGGTTACTAAAGTGCTTAGTTGAAAATCTCTGAGGATTCTTAGGAGTCCATTGTGATCTTCATCTTGAAAACGTTTTACACGTTTCAGCCTTAGAGCACCTTTTTCTGCTTCAAGTTGCACGAATTGATGAAGCGGCAGAAGATGTAAACTAGCATCTAAGGCCTTAGAGGGTAAACTGGTCTCCTGGAGCACCAAGGTTTAAATGAAATGTAATTTGAATTTGGAACAAATAAAGATTAAATTTTATTAAACTGTAAACTTTCTTCAGTGATTATTTGACAAATTTGAACATGGTTGGGCCGAAGGTTCTCAGAATTCGATGAAATTTTGTCGACAGTCAGAGTTTATGATCATATGAATGAAACAAAAATTAGAAGAGTAGGCTGTGCGTCCGTACGGCCGTGACGTTTGTTTTCTTTGTCGCGTTGTAAATATGAAAAAAATTAAAATTAATAATTTATGTGAGATAGTTTGTATCGTAATTGGAGCACATTTTCCGCGATTCGAAATTCCAGTGATGACCTGTGTTATATTTAAACTTGGGTGCTGATCCGGTCAACAACTACCATAGATGGACCTGGATGCGATTTCCCGGTTCTGGGTCGCCACCAAAGCCGAGATTCAAGAAGTTATTTTCACGAGCAGCTCAATTCCTGGCGCAAATGGCCAATCATCAGCAACGGAAGATCTTCCATTCGGAACAACGTGAGTGCACGTACATCAACGGTCTGCAGGACCTACAATATCCCCCAGCTTGTTCCTGGGGCCGCTGTCAAGCCAGCAAACCCCCAACGTCCCATCGTTCAGTGCGATCATGTTGCCGAGGTAGTACTTTCAAGTGCCAGAGAGAAGCTTACAGCTGACAAACGTCAAATCGAATACGGGAATTTGGTTAACATTGGAGGCATTTGGTGAGATCCTTCCATTACACTGTATTTTATATACCATTCATTACATTGCATATTACTGTTCCATTCACTCATAACCTAGCTCGGAGCGTTTGGTACGGTATGTCCACGCTTCCTTCCACCCCTGAAGATTCACGAAATGCATCGCTGTTTAGATATACCGTGCCAGCACCATATTTGACGCGTTCCTAATGATGACGCACTCGTCTATTTTGACAAGATATTTTTAAAAACCCTGTAACACCATCATCCCTAGAGCACTGAAACTAATATTTGCAGAAGTAAAATTTCAAAAATAATTATTTAAAATAGTCGAACATTATGGAGTGCTTCGATTTAGGAACTGCTTCGAATATGGTGCCTCCACGATTTATTTGAACTCGAATCCTTTCACAGAATCATCTTTGCGGCAAATGCAACGCAGTAGGCCTGGCCGTTTTGATGTTTGTGTCATATCTCAGATATGCTGCAAACATCAATGTTGACAAGAAAAATGATTAGGTCTCATCTAACCTAATGATTTTCCAGGATGCTTTCTTGTACTGGCTGCGATTGTATTAGATTTGATTAGATATGAATGAAACAAAAATTTAAAAAAATTGGTTGCCCAATTTTCCGGAAAAACTTTCGTTGAAGTTTTCGGATTTTCCCGGACATCACGTACTTTGAAAATTTATAACTCGTGCACCAAGTTTATATAGAATATAATTTGGAAAATGTTTCCCCCGAAAATTTTTACGATGGAGGAAAATCGCAAAGAAAAGCAGCTAATACCAATTTTTTGAGTGATGGCTATTTTTCAAACAATTTTATTTATAAAAGGGGGCGACCCCGGCGTAGTGGTTAACATCCATACCTCTCACACCAAAGTCACGAGTTCAAATCTCACCCCCGGACAAGTCACGAATGACCCAAGAGTGTTAAAGTGACTATGATAAAAAAAAAAAAAAAAAAAAAACAATTTTATTCATGTTTAGAAACATAATATATTTTACTGGTGAAAAATTAAAAGTGGTGTCTCTTAACACTTTTGAGTTAATAACAAAAAACTAACTGTCCAGAAAATATTATTTTAACATTTCCGATTTTCCCGGACTTTAAATAATCTAAACACCCATTTTCAAAGTACGCGAAAATCCGAAAACTTCATCTAAAGTTTTCTGGGAAAATTGGTCACCCCATGTTTTATTCATATAATTATAAACTCTACCTATGGGTGGAATTTAGTAGCATTCCGAGAACCTGCGGCCCGTTTTGCCCGATAATTAAAAAAAATCCCTTTATTACGGCGTTTGAAAGCTTCATGTATTTTTTTGCGATTTTTGAAGCACATGTAGTTAGTGCGAGATTTTGCTTAGATTTGCACAACAATTTGTGTAAATTTACAGTAATTTTTGCCAAGTTAGAGTTAGATTTTACACGAATTAAATTCCCAATTTAAGCATGCTTATTTTGTGAAACTCAGTTCGTTGAGAACGTTATCTAAGAGTCTATTTCGCAATCTTCCCTTCCTCTCTGGAAATGGAGCGCTTGTCCTACAAAGTTCCACGAAGTGCACAGTCAAAGTTGTTCCCAAGTTCAACCGAAACTAATCACACGGTGATGTCACCTACTCAGCGAGTCGTTATCGCTTGTTATCAGCTCTATCATCATGCAGTTAGTGTATTCATTCAAACCGCAAACATCTCTCGACTTCATCGTTTATTTTTTTAATGTGGCGGTGGCAAATTCAGCCGAAAGTTATTCTAACAATGTTCATAATTGTCTTCATTGAGTCCCCCGCTGGATAGAAACGATCGATATAGGTATACTTTATGTGAGCCAAACGAAACGACGTTATCTGGAGCATGTTGTTGTGAGACCACCCCGTCCCGAAACGCAACACCACCGGAAAGGGAACGAGAGTGAAAGACATCATCTGACAATGCTTGGACCACCGGCATCCAGCGGACGGACACCAGTGTCTGGTTGATTATTATTGAAGCATAATGGTCCAATTTTAATTTTCTGTATGATAATTCCATTATGCAGATATTTCTGGCGATGGCGTCCTCGTTTCACTATCCTTCCTCGTCCGTCGATGTGGTGACGCGCCGTCGGTGGTCTGGTATGGAAAATGTCCCATTTTATTATTCGCTCGGTATTGCTATTTACCATCTTGCTTAGCTGCGTCACAGCATTTCGTTACCAAGAACAAGGCCAAAAAAGTTTGCACAATCAACCTATACAGTAACGTTTTGCTCCTACTGTAGTGTGCCGTACTAACTAAATGATATCCTTTTGTGTGTTGTTGTTGTGATGACGACGACGACGACGACGACGACGACGACGACGACGACGTTGATGATAGAAATGATGATGCAGGAATGTTGAAATAATCACGAGAGAAAATGAATGACTTGAGCGAAATGTTTAATAGTTTGATCCTTTCGACTTGACGCTGAATTTCGCTAGGTGGCTTGAACATGCTGTGCATTTTAGAGATGAGAAAACTGAAAAGCTGCTCGCGTGGTGTTTCTTGTGTTGTGGATTTCGTATTTGTTTGTGTGTCTTTTTGTCTCTTGTTGATGCTTGCTTGTTATCTTTTTGTTTTTGTTTTGTTTTGTTTGCTTTAGGTTAGCTTTTCTCTTTTTTCTTTTAGCTATTTTAATATCAATTAAATTATTTGTTTAAGTTACTCATATCACCATGTTTTGTGTAGGTATTTCTATGTGAGGATTCGATCTGGAAGGAGAAAAATTGGGAAACAGATATTAAAGCAATCAGCTTCAATTATTTCCAATTGTGGAATGATTGTGTCGGACTTCTTCGTTTTCTTCGTGCTCGGTTTGTCGCGTTCATGTCTTATTTTTCGGTGGCCGCCGCCGTCGTGCTATCGAGGGAATGAGTAATTACGCTGTTGATAGGCGACCGAAGGATGGATGAAATCAATATCCTCTTCTCGCTTGTTTTTTTTTTTACCTCTTCCGGTGGATCATTATTAAGAACAATTATTCAGGATTTTTTTTTCAATCGACGCTCCACCATCGAAAAAAGTGGAACAAATGGAAGATAATAATTATTGATACCAGTCACGGAAAAAATGCATCCAGTACATAGCACAGTGAGCATTCCGCTCCAATAAGCGAGCAAGTGTGCTACCGATAGAAGAATTAAATATCCTACTTCTCGATACACACCAGGAGCTTTTTCACTTGGAAAGCTGTAATTGTAAGGGTGTACCACTATCGCTGCTCAGACACCACCCAGGGAAAGGCAGGACAAAAAAAAGTTCTCAAAGTGGAAAATTCCATCAAGATGAATGTAACATCCTTCCAAAGCGTAATTTTCATCCTCCGATCACAGTAGACTGGATTTAGGCTTCCTCAGGACATGGTTACTGCGATCCACAACTCGCATGCCAAATATTATCTTGTATCTGAAACTTACTTAAAGCTCCTCCCCGAACTAAACAGCCGCCATTGTTAATTTTTATATTAGTATTGATTTTTCCACCTCGAATTCCTGCCTGCGAGGAGTCAGTAAATTGTTCACTAGTTGGTGCACCTTCGCTGCACTGAGATTACACATATTTTTCAATTCACCAATCTGCTTGCACAAATTTTCACACTTTTTCACGCTTTTCGGCCCTTTTTCACCCAGAAATGGGCTACATTTTCTTCAGCAAAGCAGAGGTGCTTCTGCTTCTGCTGCTGCCTTTGCTTTCTGCTTCTGCTTCTACTACTACTACTACTGCTGCTGCCTCTGCTTCTGCTGCTGCCAGTCGACGACGGCGACGACGACGATGGGCTCTTTTTTCCTCTTCGGAGCAGAAGAACAAAAAAAGATCATTCGACAAGGGAGAGGAGATTTTTTCACTAGCTACGCACGGTTCGCCTACTGTGATGCTGCACTTTTTCACCCGCGTGCTCACGTTACATCTGAACATGATGCATTTTCGACACTAGCTTCTTGCAGTTATCACACTTTTTCACTGATTAATCTACGATTGCGATGGGAAATTTTCAGCCCCGGAGCATCTTTTTTCTGTTCTCCCTTTTTGCTCGAGCTCACTGTGTCACGTTCGTCGAAAACGTTACCTCTCTCGTCTGCAATGTTTTCACGTCTGATAGGATGGCTGTAAGATTATTCTCTCTGTAGCTGCTGAGGACTACAACATGTCTGCGTGTGATGCTATAGCATCGTGTATGGTCTGATGTGCGAGAAAGAGAGCGAACGGGTGCAGCAGCAAACATTGAAGAGTGTACAGGGTGCCATGAATCGCAATCGACCCATTCATCGAGCTTTTGTTGACGTTTGCGTCGATCATGGGCCCAATGTTTGTTTTTGTAATAGTGGAGCTATTTTTTCTTTTGGTTAATTTTGTCATTGTTTTGACCAAATTGGCAAATGGAAACCTGTTGTATACATCATTTCTATCTGTTTTGAGGATTTTTGTAGATTTTTTTTTTTTATATTCAGCTAAAATAACGCCATCTATCCCTGACTGAATTGAAAAGTCGACATTGGATGTTACCTCCTCGCACGGACACAGTCTCACTTTCAAGGTTTTCTTTGTTCTTATTAGACTCTGAGCATATCACCACCGAGCTGAACTTGAGCGAGCAAGAGAATCATTTCTATCAATCATCTCAGAGCTGATTCGGTGGTAAAATTCCTCCGATCGACCCCTCGCACGTCAAAATTTTATTTTTGTTTTGCCAGCAATCATCGTGATTAATTTTCTAAAATATTAAAAAAAAATAATTGTCATCCTTCCCAATTAGTGCAATAATAAGCAATAAAGTAACCGGGCTAGTTAAGCCAATGTTCTGAAAGTGAGTGCAAAATAATCAACCGATGACCTCGTCGCCACCGAAAGAATGCATCATCTGTCGCAAACCGCTGAAAAGTCGCTCCAGTCGACACTATCACGAACACTGCCAGAACCCGGAGCTGAAACCGTTCAAGTGTGACCATTGCGAGCGCACCTTCAGCTCCAAATCGCACAAGACATTCCACGAAGAGACCCACTCGGGACGACGACTTCGGTGCAATCGCTGCGACAAGACCTACCAACACCAACGTGATCTTGATCTTCATTGCCGCGAGCATAGATCTTCGATGGCGCTGCAAGAGGCAAAGTGCAACAGGTGCTCCGAACAATTTGAAACACAGCAGGCACTGGCTCAGCATAAGCGAGCACGGCATGCTGGGTCGAAGCGATTCAAATGTGATCAATGCGATATGACCTTCGGCCTGAAAGGCAACCTAACGAAGCATGCCAAAATTATACACTCGAAAGAGAAGCTATTCAAATGCGATCACTGCGGGAAGGCATTTTACCGTAATAATGCCCTGAAATTCCACATGCTAAATCACCGTTCCAGGGATTTCCAGTGCAAGACGTGCCAGAAAGAATTCGTCGACGCCAGAAACCTCGAACGGCATCTCAAAACGCACGTAACTTCCAAAGAATTCAGGTGCGACATCTGCGGAATATCCAGCTCCCGAAAGGACAACATCCTGCGGCACGCTAGAAGCTTCCATCCGGAATGTGACATTGAGAAAGTTGTACTTAAGGCTGAAATCCCCGACCAGCTCGACGCAATCAAAAAAGATGCCAAACAAAGTAATAAGTCAACGCCGAAAAAGACTGATCCCAAACCCGCGGAAGCGCCGATTTCAAATCGCATCAGCGTCATTCAAGTGGTAGGAAAACCGAAACCGCTTGAAACTCCCAAACCTGCCGCCGTACCGTTCACCGTCGCCGCTGGTTCTGCAAAGACTGAACTCCTGTCAAAACCCTTGCCCAAAGTTGATCCGTTGGAAATCTACCGGAAAATCCTGAATCCCAGCAACGATGACGACGATCGTGACGATTCCAACAACCAACCACCTTCGACGGTCGACCCGGTGAAAACAACAAGTATCACGACATCCGTCAACACAACCATCGCCAACAGTACTAATAATTCTTCTATAAATAATTTCACTGAAGTTCATTGGCGAAAGCGCACATCGCAGATCTACGCTATCAATTCGAGTAGGTGAGAGCGCGCGATCGCGAACGCGCGTGCCCGTCCGCGTGAAAATTTGCAGACAGCCAATTTCATATCTTCCCTTCATGCATAATGGAACGGAGAGGTAGCAGCGATCGTGAGGCCAGCAGTGAAGCTCAAGTAGAGCATGAAATCAGTGAATGCATCGCCGCGGAGGATTGGAAGAAAGTGATCGACCTAGGTCAGACATTGGCGTTCGGGGAACGCGTGAATTATCTATGGTTATGGCCACTGCAGAGTGATTTCGAACGGATAGGAGAGTGTCTACAGCGATACGGTATCGGTCGAGTGCTTAGCATTGGCTGTGGAACGGGTCTTCTGGAGTGGCTGATTACGGCGGCGACCGGAATCGTTGTGGCCGGCATCGAAAAGGATGAAAACTGGTGGCGCTCCAAATATGCGAAGAGGACGTACATCCCTATGGTATTTGCTGACGCGTTGACAAACGTGACCGAGAACCAAGGTCAGCCGACCTGGCAGGCGATGATGTTTTGCTATTTCAACAACGGTGTCGCTTTTCGTGAGTACGTGAAAAATTTTAAAGGTCATTATGTGATAATTGCAGGGCCGATCGAGGGAAACGGTGTTCATACTGATCCACTGCCATTCTCAGCCAAATTTCCCGCCGACCAGGAGTGGGAACGCGTGCAAGCCTTCTCCGTGGGAAGTGAAAATCTCAATCATTTTGTGATTTATCAAAGACGGTGAAATAAACCAAGAACTGCTCGTAATACTAGAGGGCACATTTTTCACTTGTTTTCTTTTATTTATGAACGAAAAAGTACAGAAACAAAGTGTTTGCTTAAGTGTGACATTGTTTCAATCTGTGCATCAGTTGCACCACCACACATAAACGGTTTCATCTGAGTTCATCTTCTACAGAGCTATTTAACAACAATACCCCCTGTCCATTCGATGGAAGGCTTCTTTTCTTCCATCGGGGCAAGGTCCTAGAGGTTCTCGACTTAGTGTAAACATAGATTTGAGCATTTTCGTTTTTCGTTTCTAAGTATTGACTTCAGTGTCACACTCTTATATCCTGTAGATCGGAAAATTATCGACAGAGTGACAAGAGGTTGGCAGTTTCTCCGGCAGTTCTACGACTGGATTTCACGTTTTAAAAATACAGAACATTGTACTTAGCAGTTATAAATAAATTAAAGGCTAAAAGAAAAATCTCAATGATGAGGACGGAATGGGGAGGGGGGAAGCTGGGACTATCGGTAGGCTTTATCGTCCTGATAAGCCATGTAGGGGTTCTGGCCCGAGTGTACTGAGTGCATCGAGGCAGCTGAGAGTTGAGAAGGTGGTGGCATCATGTGTTGGTTTTGGTATTGATACGGGATTCTCCCGATCGTCGAGTAGTTCGGTCGAGGTTGCGCATCCGGCGAAGAGCTCTGCTTGTAGGGTAACGTAGCGTAATTCTGTCCATACGGAGCAACCATCGGATAGATTGGTGTTCCCTTCCCGCTCTTGTAGTTCACATGCATTCCATTGGGATGCATCGTGGACATTCCAATTGGCGGACCTCGATAGGTGTCGTTGTTCATTCGCACTCTGCAGATACAAATTATCACTACCAGCAGAAAGATGAACGCAATCACTCCACCCACAATTCCGATAATTAGCATATCGTCATTGGTAATCGGCATCTGCTTCATCGGAGGCATCTTTGTTTTTGTCTTGGTCTTTGCCGTCGGAGCGACGCTCCAAATAATGTCCTGTTCCGTGGTCGGGGTAACCTTGGTAATAACCTGCGTAAATCCGGATGTGTAGTTTGTGAACGTGATCGTCGACGTTCTACTCGTTGTCGTCGTAGGTTTCTTTTGATCGCAAACTAACTCATTATCACCCACTTCAATCAACAGCCGCCCACGAACACCTTCCGGCGAAGCACACTTCACGTCCATGACCTTGGCGGCCATGATCCATCTTCGGAATGCTCTTGCTTGACAATCGCACTGCACTGGGTTTGCATTCAAGCCGGTGATCGTCAAACTATTCTTGCGGTCATCCATCGAACTCAGGAAAGGTTGAGTCAGTGTTGTGATCTTCGATCCCGAAATGTCCAAATCAATGTGCGACGATCGTGGCAACGGGAATAGCAGGGCTGGTGGAAGAGCCGTAATTGAGGTATTCTTCAAACTAACACTCAGGAATTTATTTCTTAGACCCGCAAAACTTCCCGAAGAGAGACTCTGCAGCATCCGTCCGTACAGACCCAGATGGTTCAGTTTGGGATGATCGATAACCTGCAGTTGATCCGATTCCAGTACGGAGTCCTTGACTTCAATATCAATCGCAGCCAGCGAGGGCAACTCTTGCAGTATACCTTGAACATCGATATAGCCCAGCTTGGCGAAGTTGAAAGCTTCCAGCACCGAGAGGCTATTCAGTGGCTTGAAAGCATTCTTTTCCAACCGACTGATCTTACCCAGATCTCGCATCTTCAGAACCTTCAACGCTCCAAGGGAATCGAAAGCGTGAGCCATGATCGCTTTGATTGGGTTTTCCGACAGGTCCAAATGGCTCAGCAAGCCCAGCTTAGGCCATACTTGTTTCAAGGAATCGATGTTTTCTAAACTGTTTGAAGAAAGATCCAACACTTCTAGCAAGGTAGTCTTATCGAAAACACGATCACCTACGGAACTAATATTGTTCATAGATAGATTCAGCACCTGAAGGTACGGAGTTTCCAAGATCGGCAACCGTTCAATTCCAGTGCTCGCTAAATTTAATTTCCTTGCCGTTTTTGGCTGTTCCAGTAACATTTTTATCGCCTGTTCCGACAACGCATTGAACGAAAAATCTATATTCTTAATGTTTACCATCACCATGTAGGTGTTGGTCGAAGGAATATCCTTCAACTGATTATGACTCATATCCAGCGTGTAGATACTGTCATGTTGATCTTTCAGAGCGTTGAACGGAATCGATTTGAAGCTGTTGTTCGCCAGAATTAAATGTTCCACCTTCTGGATTCGACTCTTATCGAACAATCCCTCGGGTAGCTCCTGCAATGGATTATGACTCATATCCAGCCGCTCCAGTCGCGTCAAACCCTCGAAGATCCTCTCCGTCAACCGCTCCAATCTGTTTTGGCTCAAATCAATTATCTGCAGCTGCGTCGAATTGTGGAATGCCATATCATTCACCATTTCGATCTCATTGTCGGCAAAGTACAGCTCCCTCAAATTAGCATATCGAGCAAAATCCAACTGGTCAATAATCGTCAACTGATTCCCGCTGAGATCAATCACCTCAAGGAAGTCCAAGCTGTTCGTCAACTCTGGAGCAAACCGCTGGATATTGTTTCTGGCCAGGATGATTTTTCGCAACCTCGGATGAATACGGAAGGTGTTCGAAGCGAACGCTGTAATCTCATTGTCCGACAGGTCCAACGTTTCCATTGCCGTTTCACTGTTGAATATGTCCGCTTTAAATTCCTCCAGGCTGTTACCTCTAAGGTTGAGCGTTCTCAGATTGATCGTATTGATGAACGATCGAGGCTTGATCGTGGTAATTTCATTGTGCGAGAAATCAACGTTGAATAAACTGTTCAAAGCCATGAAGGTATTTTCATCCACGGTCTTCAGGTGGTTGTGACTCAAGAGAACAATTCTCAACTCAGTGTTGTTGTGGAATAGATCCGGTTTCATTACCTTCAAACCACAGTTGCTCATATCGATGACCTGCAGCTTGTTTAATGGGTAGATCATAGTCCGAGTGATTTGCGTAACGTGTTCGTTCCCGCTTATGTTCAGGTACAGGAGGTTTCCTAGCCCATGGAAAGCATCCACTGCCAGATCATCGATGCTGTTCGAACTGATGTCCAACCGACGAAGCTTCGGCAGGACGATCTTCCGGAACGTGGAGATTTTGTTGTACGACATCTTGATCTCCATCAAAGTGTTATCCAAACCGGCGAAGGTGTCCTCGTTGATCACACCTAAGCTATTGCCGGAAATATCCAGGTAGATCAGTTTCTTGAATGAAGTAAAGCTGTTGGCTGGCAGTTCACGGATTACATTCCGTGACAGCGATAGGTATCGGATGTTTTCCGGTTGAATTGACTTTAGAATACTGGAAGAGAGGGCTGCCACCCGGTTGAAGTCCAGGTACAGATTCGAGAGACGAGGCAACCTGCCCAAAGCACTGCCCGGAATCAGAAGAATGTTGTTGTCTCGCAAGATCAAAGTCTGAAGGTTGTCCAATCCTTCAAAAGCATCATCCTCGATGGTTCGCAGTGAGTTCAGGCTAAGATCCAGATACTTAAGCAGGGTTTGATCGCGAAACGTTCCCGGAAGAATTGATGCGATCACGTTACGGCTAATGTCCAAAATTTGAAGGTTTTTCAACTGCTGCAGATGCTTTGATTCCAGCTTATCGATGTTATTCAGCGAAAGATTCAACACTTTGAGGGATTCGATCGAACTCAAGGCGGCCGTGGGGAATTCTCCTATCAAGTTATCGGATAGATCCAGTTTTTGGATCGAATCGGCACCCATGAAGGCACGTTCGTCTACGAGGCTGATTAAATTTCCTGCTAGCAGCAATTCTTTCATCGCTGGCAGCGTGGAGAAGGCGTTTGCTTTCAGAATGTGAATCCGATTGTAGCGCAGATCGATCCGTTCCAGTTTGTTCGAAAACTCGAACGATTCCGATGAAACGTTCTCGATCAGGTTGTTCCGGAGGGAGATGAGCCGGAGGGCAGGAAGATCCTTGAAGGAGTTTGCCGGAACGTCGGACAGTTTGTTGCCATCCAGTTGAATGTCCTGCAGCTTTCGGCAGCCCACGAAGATTCCTTCGTCCAGTGCCATCAGCTGGTTGTGGGACAGGTCGAGGAGCTTGAGGCTTTTCAGTGTTTGCAGCTCGGTGGTGGAGAAGATCGGATTCAGGTTATCTCCGAGAAGATTGTTGGCCAGACGTAGCTCGGTGATGTGTTCCTGTGTGAAGGTAGTAAGGAGTGGTTTAATCTAGGGTTGTTGGGTTATGAGGAGCATATCGTCTTACCCCAACACCGGAGAATGCCTTGTCCGGTAGTGATCGAACGGCATTGTTCGAAAAGTCCAACCGCCTGATGGCAGCATTCAGCATCGACAGGTCCTGCAGTGGGTGAGAGTTAGAATATGTTCCGTTCGATGATGTTGATATGATATTTACCGGGATGGCTTGATGTCCACTGCTCCGGTGTGAGAGGGAAATCACTGGCAGACCGGCCGGGAAGCCACCCGTCAAAGCAGTTCGTTCGCAGTCGACGGCGATGAATCCATACTGGCTGTTGTTGCCAACCGCTTCGATGTTACATCTGGAAATCCACGGGGCATACAGTGAGAGAGATCGACATAGAAAATTGAGTCCAATTAGATGTATAGATGGATACTGAATGGCTTCAAAATATGATAATAGTTAAGAGATTTCCAAACGCTAAAGAGGAGAGATTGTATTGCAAGAAAACAATCAAAAACAGGATATCGATCAATCGATCGACGATATCGGGTATGGCATAATGATATGATTGTGATCGGGTAGTCGATCGCCTCTGACGCCGGTGGATAATTACGGAGCATAATTTGGTAAGTTGTGAATATAAAGTGGTTGGGAACGGTGAGTGATTCCCATGGTGGGAAACGGTGTCATCGTAAAATGTAGGATCATGTACGATAGTGTTAAAGACTATTACGTAAGTTTTGAGTAATTTAGCAAATGAAACTAAGGTCACTCGACCGCGATTCCTAAAATAGTAATATGAGTTTTCATTTTGCCTCGTACTTTGAGCCTTCATCCGATTATATGAGATCACACAGAAAGGTGACCTTCGATCACCTAAAGCAGTCGAATAAATGCTCGCCTCAAGTTACGCTAATTTTCCGGCTTGCGAAGCGTGGTTAACAATTTTACTACGGATTAACCTGGGGGCACCCTTGAGTTTCATCGATTTCGTGCACAAGTGTTTTGCTGTTGGCTCGATTAGGCATCAAGGCTGGCTGGCATTAGCGTTGACAATGACTTTGTACCATGAAACAACCCTTTCACTGAAGATACGGTGCCAATCGCAGCATGCAATCGATTAAAAAAGCCTCACTAATTGGATACGTCATAAACATAGGTATGCTAAGCTAAATGGCAATCGGTAGTTTCCTGTATCGCATTAGACTTAATGAATTGCACTGCGAAGTGTTATTGGAGTCTTTTTTAATTCAAATCAAAATTTAAATATATCGAGTCACCTTGTTTCGACACACTTAGGATAAGTTACTATACTGCCCAGAACTCGGCTTCTGTCTCGGTTTTTTTAAAGTTAAAACCGATTTTCAATGAAAAATACGTTAATTTCAAATGTTTATACCGTGGATCCCCCTTGAGTTGAACGATACTTCACAGACAAACAGACATAACACATTGAATATTTCTTACATCGTCGCTAAAACATTACCGCCATCTGTTGAGTACACTGTGGTGGACACTACGCTGAACAGATGGCGGTAGTGTGTAAACGTCAAACGCAAGGGAATTGACTATGACCGTTAAATGCTTGTTCGATGAACAACTAGCGAGTGTTATGTCTATTTGTCTGTGGATACTTCATTCAGTACTCGCGCCAACTTTTGTAACACAAGCACTCGTGCGTTGTATTGCGTGATAATGTTTGCACCATCGTACAAATAAGGTTCCCGTTTAACCTGTGCATACAATGTCTTGGTTTTCTTTGCATGCACGTAACCTATAGCTTATACCGTAGTAGGCTGTGTATAAAAGAAAATGATTTACTTAGTTTGACAGTTGCACCATGACGAAGTGGCAGCGTATTCGTGATTTGTCCCACGCGTAAATGTCGCAAAAAGACATTTCAATCGCCGTGGGAGTGTCCCGGGTTTTAGGGTTTTAGACCGAGAAAAGAAAGAACAACTATCCGTGAAGGTGGCCACAGGTCGTCCCTGGTCAGCTCGGGTTCCGAGGATTATCGCTATCAAAAGGAAGATTCGGGTGAATCCAGTGCTTTCAATTAGGCAAAGGAACACAGGCTCAGTGACTAAGATCGTAAAGGAAGATTGCGGGCGAAGTCGAGGGCACGGAAAAAAAACTCACATGATTACCAACCGCATCCGTGAGCTACGAGTCGAACGATGCAAGCAAATCTTGAACTTCCTTAAGCGAAAAAAATCCGGTAATCCTGTTCACCGATGAGATCATGTTTACTGTCGATCCCGTATCAAATTCCAGAACCGACCGGTATATTAGTTCTCTTCTGGTAAAAAACGTGGCCGACGAGCACAAGAACCTGTATATGGCCAAGCCTCCTGCTAGCGTTATGGTGTTTGGATTGGTGGCTTCCGATGGCAAAAAAATGGACCCGGTGTTCATTCCAGAAGGCGACAAGGTCAACACGGAGGTCTACATCGGGATTTAAAGTAAGTATGTTCTTCCGTGGATCAAAGAACAGTACTCGAACCGCGCTCAGAAGTGGTTGCAGGAACATCTTCCGTTCTGGGCGAAGAATATGTGGCCGCTATCCAGCCCCGATCTTAATCCGCTGGATTACTCGATATGGCGCGTCATGAAGGCCAAGGCCTGTTCTAAACGCCACCCGAGTACAGCAAGCCTCAGACAAACATTGACCCGTACCTGGAGAGAAATGGATCCAGACTACATTATTAGAACTTGCCGTGCATTCTGGAAGCGTGTGATGGCCGTAACTGCAGCAAGTGGAAACTCAATCGATGATTAACATAGTTTAAGACTCTGAGAAACATCCCGCGTTTGAATAAATAAAAAAAAATAGAAAACGACACTGCTCAATGGTGCAAACATTATCACGCATACGGTATGGCGACGTCGGTGAGTCACTGGCCTCCCGTTAAGTAGATGTTACATCAACAATATTCTTCCTTTCTCCGTAACGGAGAAGATGAGTGTCACCAGCAATGGTAATTGTCATGCTTTTCCTGTTCTGAACTTTGATTGGAGAACTATTCACTCCCAAATAGTTTTTCCTCAAGCAATCAGAATAAGAACGTTAAAGTTGATACATGACAGTTGCCAGTATGCAATCTACGAATTATTCCGTTACACACGCAACGCAACGCTACTCTAAAAATTCCTAGACCGGTTCGGGAATTGAACCCAGCCACCTCCAGCATGGTCTTGCTTTGTAGCTGCGCCTTTTACCGTCCAAGCTAGTGCTGACTAAGGGATTTGTTTGGAGAACTCCATGGTACTTGTGAGTAGAATTCCAAGAGAAGAAGGATAATTTTGGAAAGAATTCGAGGACAATTTTGAGGATGCTTCCAAAGCAATTCTAAGGAAAGCTTCAAGGAAATTTCCAAGATTGTTTTGAGGTAAAGAGCAATTCCATACAAATTCGCAAATCGGTTTATTTTTGTATTTTTTGATTTGGTTTAAAATTTGCAGAAACGTTCCTTATGACCGACAATGCATCTTCATATCGCCAATTTGAATCCAGCCTTATTTTTGAAAAGGGCCTATAGAAAAATATCAAGCTTATCTTCAGAAAAGTTTTACTCGAAAACTGTTTGCCCGATTGGTTTGGTGTCTTGAGCAATAGTGCAGTTAATGGATGTGACTATTTGAACAAAAATATGCACTCTAAAAAAAATTACCCAACTTTTTTTTAAATTTCAAATAAAGTCTAAAAACAATTTTTCTCAAGAATGATTTTTTTGCATTTTTTTATTTGTTGATATGTTTTAGGATACAAAATCTATTGCACTATAGGCCAAGATGGAGAAATGATGGACAAAAAAGTTCTGACTTTTTTAAAAACTCAAGTTTTTGGAAAAATATCCAAAACTTGGTCCAATTACTTTTTGACTTTATATAATGAAAGTACACCAAATTTACAATAATAATCCCTTAACATTATTAATTCTGCATTACCCAAGAATTCCACAAGAAGTATCCCCTGAAATTATCTTCGGATTTCCCACTAAATTCCTCTCAGAATTATTTGCTTTTAAATTTCAAATAAAGTCTTAAAACCATTTTTCTCAAAAAATGATTTTTTTGTATTTTTTTTTTATTTGTTGATATGATTTAGGGGACACAAAATTCCATATATTGCACTATAGTTCAAAATGGAAAAATGATGGACAAAAAAGTTCTGATTTAAAAAAATAAAAGTTTTTGGAAAAAATATCCAAAACTTGGTCTAATTACTGTTTTGACTATGTATAATAAAAGTGCACCAAATTTACAATAAAAAAAAACACTTAAGTAAAATTTTTTTAAGTCGCACCGTTTTCGAGATGTAGCGGTTTGAAAGTAGATATTTTAAAATGTTGGTAGTTTTTGGCCATTTTTAAATATATTTCGCGGTTCTCCATTTCCAACAATATTTTTTCGGAAAGATCAGAGTTTGTCGAAAACGTGATGTGATGTACCACTCATTGTTGCAAGGCACAGCCATTAGACAGTGGATTATCCTCCAAGTATGACTTGATCAAGTACGATACCTGGTTGTATTCAATTTACCATTGTAAGAAGGGCCAAAAACGGAGGGGCGGACCCGTAAGCAGATACACTTACGCGCAATCCGCGGGATCAGGAGAATCGCCTTCCAATCCTACAACCCGATGTAGAACAAGCCATCATACGAGGGAACGTCCCAATGAGTGGGGAGGAGAGCCCGCCGTCAATTCACGAAATGTTAATGACAGGGAGCTGGCAATTCCACTCTCCCCATCCAAATCGATTCAATCCGGTTCCCTGGTGGTCCCATCCCTCTCCTTTGCATTTAATGTGTGTATATATATATATATATATATATATATATATATATATATATATATATATATATATATATATATATATTTATATCGGCATTACCCGTTAGATCTTGTCAACACAATTTTGACTTCTTAGCTTTTCAAAATCTTTAATAAATGCAAATATTATCATCTGACCTATTCCGCGAGTCGTGCGAATCTCCACCACCAATGAGTCAACAAAAGTCACGCACTAGTGGGGTGACTCTCCGTGCAATCAAATGAAGAGTCACCTCACACGAGGCGACCACCGTCACCCTACTAGCGACAGAGAGCCATACTACTCGCAGAACAGGCCTGCAGGTGACGTTTAAAGCTCCACAATTTTACTGAAAATCTAAGCTAATTATTAAACAGAATTTAATAATATAACTGCAGAGCACAAGCAGTTTAAATATACTGAGGAAGTGTTGCCAAAATCGAACGGATACTTTATATGTTTATTAATTTATCTTATCTTTGATGGACCAACTACTAAGCTCCAATCGGTATTTCCCGGTAAATCCGATCACGATCCTAAAAA